CTTAACCCTTTCCCTGTTTTGTGTCCAGAGACAGCCCGGTGGTGAAAGGAAACTCTATTTTTGCCTTAACTGGTCTTGCAGTTGCTGTAGCCAAATACGAAAGCAGCCTTTCCTCAGATACTGAAGAGATGCCTGAGGTGAGTCAATCTGGGAAAGAGATTCGCTACTCTTAGTGGAATATAATGAAGTGGATGTAAAGTACTTCACATTTTGAAGTTCAAATTTCACCCTGCTCAATGAATCCCATCTGATAGATGGTATGTGGTCTATACAAAAGCAGTCAGAGTGTGTAGGTGCTTTCTCACAAGAAATATAATGACTAACACATTTATCTGTTGGTTTTGACAGATGATAGAGGTCTAGTGGACACTAAAACCCAGCCAGCCTCTTTTCTCATCATTTTTGCTTTCACTGAATAGTACCTGATCAAAAGTAGTGTCTGGAGGGTCAGCGTTGGCAAGTAAATGATGCTACTTACTGTACATAAGAATGACAAAATAATCTCATTCCTGATGGATCATAGCTAGAACATCGGCTGCTGTTCAGGTAGGACCTGAATTAAGAAAAAGTGACGATGAATATTTGGGTTTGATTTTTGCAGACTGAACCTGATTTTCTTCCCACAAAACACTGGATTTCTATGGTCACAGAGACGCTCTTTAGTATTGTGCACAGCCGTTATCACCCTAAAGGTCAAGTCTTCCCGTGGTTCTACCAGGTACGTGTTGTGGTGTTAAAGGTAAGAGAATATATCTGTATTTCATACCTGGAGTTCTTAGTGTGGAGTTTCCTGGTTCTGTTTGCCCTGTAGTAATTGTAATACAGGAGAATCAAAACTTTTCTTCCTTTTGTTCTTTTTCTTTCATTGTGTTTTCTGCTTATATTTGGGTTTGCCTTGAGTGTTTGTCTTTATTACCAAATAGTAAAAAAACCACGTGAGGATACATGAATGAAGGAAACTTTAAAAACAAAAAAAGCCTTCAAAACCTAGAATATTCGGCATGTTTTGCACATTGTATGTACAAAACAAAGCCTTTTAACATCAACAGACTCTCCTCAGACCACACTATCAAACTCTTGAGTGATTCTGACACCATTCCTTAGGGCTCTGAAATGCATACTTTCTCAATATCTAATAGTTATTGAGCCAGTGATTCTTATTTTACCGTACCTCTTGAACCCTTGGGGGCCAGTAGAAGTTGTATTGTATGTGCTTGCAGTGTGATAACCAGCCTGAAATTCTCAAGCCATGTAAGTATCAGGCAGTTCTTAAGTAGGACCTGGAGATGGACTGAAAGCTCAGCACAGACCTTAAGGAATAGGTATTGCTAACTCTTGACTATCTGTGGTCAAAACAACCAGGTTGGAGATTCTTGTGTCATGGATGCAGAAGGGAACTTGGGTCCTACAAAGCCAAATACCAGCCTGGTAATGTATCGTAATGGAACTTCATTAACTGCATTCATAAACTGTGTTTAGTCCAGTAGTGAGAAGTTAGTATCAAAAAGCTGAAAACTACTGATGGACCTGAGTCAGCTCTGGCATGTGACCCCTGTTACCACTGAAAGGGGACATAGATCACCAAATCAAATGTAGTGTTAAATAAACGCTAGACTTGTTGGACATAAGGAGATAAACTACTTGGTTGGCACCAGCAGTTCTTGCCGAATTGTTCTGTGACTCCTGCCTTTGAAAATAATGCTGTTTAAAAAAAGGTGGTTTTGAGATGGAACAATGTGACAATGTTTCATTTCTAAAATCCACTCTGTTTAAAAAAAAAAAAAATTTAAAAATCTTATGCTTGTAGAATTCTAAGCCACACAATAGAAATCACTGTCTTGCAGAGTGCCTTGCATCCTGATGGGACTTTTTTTCTTTTCCTTTTCAGAGTTGCATGTGGAAGTTGATAAATACACATTAGATTTACTTACAGTCAGTCCATTGCTTTATAAGTAGAGGTAGCTGTATGGATTTTACCTTGGAAAGGAATTAAAAAACCTTTGTAAGGGATCTTTCTTCTAGAAAGCATCTCTACTGGTTATCTTGCAAGATCACATGATATTTTGTCATCCTAGGTGTGATGCTTTTAAGGTAGTGCTTTTTCCAACTCACTAAATTCTTGGTGTGTTATAATTACAGAAGTACATTAACATCATGTTTGCCCTTCTGATCGTGCTGCCGGATATTTTAACAAGGAAGGTGAAAACTAAAATAGACCAATGTATTTATGTGTAGACTAGCTGTTAAATTCTAGTTGCATCCTGACTTATCCTTTGTTTACAGTTTCATACTTAACAATCTTATTTACACTTAGAAATTATATTCTGAATTACCCTAGTTTTAAACTGCTTACAAGGTAAGGCAAATGGAAAAGTTATCATAGGCAATTCCATGAAATACTGTTTATTGCCAGATTACAATACATCTGTGCTGCTATTTGCTGTATAGGTATTTATTTTAAATTCCTAAAGTGCTGAGTGTTAGTACCTGGAAAGGAATTTTATTTCCCTCCCCCAAGAGGAAAAGAAAAAAAAATTCTTTTTTTATGTTTTTCTAGAAATCCTATTCGGGTGAAAATACTGCTAGTATTATAGCTCGTTCCTGTGCGGCCACTGCTTTGTCTCTCCTCGTGCCAGTTTTCATTGTATCATGCAAGGAGAAGGTTGAGGAGGTCCTGAATTTGCTGACTGACAGGTTACCTGGGAAACCAAATGCTGATGAGTCTCAAGCTGTTCAAATCCACATGGGCCTTGGTTTGGGGATGTTTATCTCACATTTGTATGAAGAAAAAGTCAGGTAAGGATTACCATATGTAATGTAGGTGTGCAAATAAGTTCCTTCTTTTTCCTGCATGTGGCCTGAAGTTCTGAGGAATTGAAGTATTTACAAGTCATAGACAAAAGATTGTTGCAGAGCTTTGCAACATTTCTTAAAAGGCGTCTTTTATTATCAGTCTTCACCACCCACCCCCCCATGCTATCCTGGATATTTTGCCATTCTTTCAGGATGAATGATAAATTTTTATAATATCCTAAGGCACACGTGCAAAGCACTTAGCTAGAAGAGCCACACATACGCTTTTAAAGGGGACTAGCTGCCCTAGGAAACCTAATTATAAAATAATTCACAGTTCTCATCGATTCCTTTCTAAGTGGTGCTCTGGACACTGGACAGTGTCCACTTACATCATGTGAGTTACGCATATGGCGATGGAGCTACAACAGAAGTAGTGTAAGGGGCTGTCTTTAAGGCGTGCTGTTACAGCTATGTTGGCAGTGAAGAGACATTCTGAAGTTGGTAGAAAATGCCTCCTTTACAGAAGGGTTGGCCTCAGTTGCAAATTTCCGATGATTCCAGAGAAATTAAGAAGTAGGTTTGGCTTTATACTCCTCCAACTTTTGACTACTAGGGATTCTGTCTGCCGATATACCCATAATAAATGTTTAGTTGGTGTAGAAGCAGAGGTATCAAACAGATTTGGTTGTCAGTTGTTAACTTGCTCAGTGAAGCTAATGTTTCCGACACACCTGCCTTTGCTAAAACACGGTGCAGTGTTGCTGTGTTCTAATCTTCATGCTTCGGTGTCTTGATGCCTTGCTACTTCTGACTCAGCCATGTAATTTGGGGACGGGCTGTCTCTGGATCATTAGTCAATGGTGACAACTGAGCTACACACAAGCATTAAAAGACTCTTAAAGAGAATGACATTAGATCAGCTTGGTATTTTGGAGTATGTGAATCTTTATTTTGCATTTTTGGGTTTTGTTTGTTTGGCGAGGGGTGTTGAAATTAATAAATTTATCTAAAAATTTCTTACGGACCAATTTTTACTTGTCATCGTTTCAAAGCTTAATCTCACACATGCTTCCAAGCATTGACTTGCAAAAACAGCAAAATTTGTAGGGATGTAGCTATAGCTAATATCAAATCATAGAGTTACTTTGCATTAAAGATGTCCTGTTCATTAAGAAAACTGTATACGTGTTTTGTAAGAGGGGAGTCCCTATGACGTCTTTGGAGTGACACGTAAATGCTTCTTTTTTTATCAGTAAGTTAGGCAAAGAGATGGAGAGAGAGATTTACAGAGCTAATATCTTAAAATGTAATGAATTTTCAGTTTATAAATAGTTACAGGTCTAGCTGAGATCATGTTCTATCAGTATCCTCCTACTACTATCAGGCATTTTTTACAAATCCTGGGTGCTGGGTTTCTTTCTGGGTGTTGTAGCTATAATGGTTGCCAGTTAAGGTCTGAATGTGTTTTTATTATTTGTATATGAGTATGTTTATATGAATGTGACACAAATGACCAGTCATATAGTTGTTGATTACCGACTAGTATGAGAACCTGTTACAGCAAGAGGTTTAATATCCTATATGATTTAAAGAGCAGAGCTGTGTTTTGGATTTTTTTGGTTTCTGTTTTGTTTTGGTTTTGTAGTGATGTACCCGGTCAACAGATGAACTTAGTTCTAATGAAGTCCCTGAATGCACTGGAAGACTGCTGCTTTGACACCCGCCTGGAGTACAAGTGAGTTTCCTTCATTACTGATGATATTTTGTTTTATTTTGAGCTCCACCTCATGCTTTTATACCTTAATTCTACACAGAAGAATATAAGGATAGGACAAGGAGGCAGCCTGTTCTGAGTACTTCCATAGAATCACCAACTCATGCAGGCTGGCAAGGACCTTCGGAGGTCCTCATCCCAGGAACAGACTCAGCCATGGACTTGGACTACATTGCCTAACGCTTTACAGTCAGCGTTTGAAACCCCCAAGACTGGAGACAGCACAACGTCTCTGGGCTCTGGCTCCACTTTTGGGCTGTCCTTGTCTTCATGTGAACGTCTGATGTTTCAGCTTGTGCCCACTGCCTCTGGGCCTCCCACCATGCAAGAGCCCAGCTACATCTCCTCAATCCTTTCCTGTCACTGTTGGAGATGCTGTTGGTGCCCCCAAAGCCATCCCTTCTCACAGATGAACCAGCTATGGTCCCACAGCCTCTGCTCTCAGGGCAAGGGCTCCAGCCTTGCTGCCTCGGTAGCTGCCCATGAACTTGTTCCACTTCTGTTGGTGTCTTTCCTGCATTCAGAGCAGTATTCCAGGTGTATTGGTGGGCACACAGTAGAGGGGTGATCCTTCCTCTGGCTCTCATGGCTGTGTCCTGCTCATGCTGCTTATGCACTGCTGGCGCTCATCGCTGCCTGGGTGCATGTCTGGCCCCAGCTCAGCTTGCTGCCCACCACTGCGCAAGGCTGTCCCCAAGAGCTGATGCCCAGCCCCTCTGGCCCAGCCTGTCTGTTGCCAGGTGCATGACTGTGAGTTGGTGCTTGTTGAATTTCAGGATGTTCCTGCTGGTTTATTCCTCTGTGTACCATCTCTTCTAAGTTAGTGTGTCCATAAAAAAAAAAAAATATATAATACTTTATGTATGAACATATATATAGGTGTATGCATATGTGCATATATCTAACACATACACACACACAGTTTTTTCCATACAGTCCCTAGGGTGAGGTGAAAAGAAACGATGGCTACTGCTAATCCCTGCCAACCCACAAGTAAAAACCTTGGGCATGTATAGAGAACCACACAGTCTTGCTCACAGGCGGTGGGAAGATTCTAGGAGCAGGGTTGCTCATCTTACCTGCACGTGTTCATTAATGAAAGATGTTTTTGAAAGTCCTTCTGGGGTACTCTTGGGTGGTTGCCAAGGTGTTCAATGAAGTCTAGCTGCTTCCGCGTTGGAGCCTGTTACTGGAATGTGCATGTGTCTACAATACAGTGTGAGCTCTGGGAGCAGCTGCCTCACATGGCTTATTTATCTGGGAGGGCCAGGCCATTAATTTAACAGCTGTGGATGGCATGTTGAATACTGAGTAAAGCAAATATATTTCATTTAGCCAACTGAGGTTATGCCTCAGGTGTCCCAAAGAGAGGAGCAGCCCACCAGCAGGGCAAGAAATTATTGGAAGGTATTGCACAATTACTAGCAATGGCAAACCTGGAATAATTGAACAATAACACACGTCTCAGTTGCCATTAAACAACTAACATAACATAGTAGTATGTGTCTTCCACAGTAGTCATTTGCCTTTCAAATCAGGGAAGGAACTGCAGCATCTTGAGTGCCTCAGTGTGGGTGCATAGTGTTTTACTTGATTTTGAACATTATTCTGCCTAGCTCTTCCCTGTTCAAAGGAAACGAGTAATAATTCTTGTTTGCCTTTGCCCTCCCATTCTCCAGTGGACCTTCTGAAAAGCTGTGAGGGCTCACAGTTGCACACCATCGGGCTGTGAACCCGTATAGCTTCGTCAGGATGTGGGTTGCCTCTTGAGCGGCACAGGGTGGGACACATGGTGCGCGGGGGGCTGTATCAGCTGCATCTCTTTGTTACACCCGTTGCTGCTTGTTTGTGCAACCTGTTAGCTGGAGACAAATGCCTCACAGAAAAGCCAAGCTAGACTTCTCTGTCAGCGAGAGGTTGCCAGAAGAATAGGAAACAATGGCAAGCAGGAAAGGGAAGATTGAAGGGTGGGTAGTTTTTTATGCTGGGCGTAATGGCTACATATTTTAAAGGTTAATGGTAAGTTGGTGTGAGCGCTCTTTGTGAGCAAAGAAGTAATGGAAAGCTGTAAATGTTGCAGACTTGTCCAAGTTTGGTGTTTGTCCACTTTTAAACTGCTATTCCAAAGCAAGGGCCTTTCCAGCCTTCCCATGCAGTACGACAGGCACGGCCAACCGTGGGACGTAAGCGTTACACTGACCTTTTCATCCGTGTTTCACCCGTGCTAAACTGTCGATTCTCTTTTTCCGTTAAAACAAGTTGCATGTCTTTGTGAGAGGGCGGAGTTCCCTTTTTTCTGAATGCCAGCCGTGATTATATCCTCTCCTGCGGCTGCTCGGGGTGACGTGGGGCCGGGAGGGCTCCCGCTGCCAGCCCGGCGCCCGG